GCTGGCCGAGCTGCGGGGCGCAGGGCGCGGGGCCGAAGCGGGGTCTCCGGCAGGGCCAGCCGGGTGGGCGCAGCGAGGGCGCCTCCGCACACAGCGGGCCACGCGCGTCTTCACTCTTCTCCGGCTAAAGAAGGGGCAGCAGCGACTGCAGGCAGGTGGAGGCACAGGGGGGCGTTGGGGGTGCCGAGTGGCCTGAGTGACCGCAGAGATGGCGTTGCACGTGCAGTGACGGCGCCCGCGCCCTGAGGATCCCGGCCGTGCGCCCAGCGTCCCCGGCGAGCATGCAGCGTCCGGAGCCTGAGCTGATCCGGCAGAGCTGGCGCGTGGTGAGCCGCAGCCCCCTGGAGCACGGCACTGTCCTGTTCTCCAGGTGAGGTGGCCAGGGCGCGGCGCCGGGGACCCAGTCTCGCAGGGTGAGCTCCGGACGGAGGCGCCCGCCAGATGTGCGCCAGAGTCGTTGGGCTGGGCTCCCTGGCGCGGGGCTTTGTGGGCAGCGCCGCACCCGCGGGGCTCTCGGGGGCGAGAGGGGGCCTAGTTAGCGGATTGCCGGCTCGGCGCCTCCTTCACTCCACTTTGGTGGCGGCTGCAGAGCGCCCACAGCTACCTGGAGACTGGGGCTGTTACAGGAGAGTGTGCGCGCGGGGGTGGATGGTGGCGCAATGAGCCCGGGCGCCAAGAGTGTGCACTTCTAGCAAAGAATGGAAGGATAAATCGGACTGGATATGGGCCAAAGACCCTCCAGGGAAGGGGTGAGAGACTGAGAAGGCTGGGGACGTGCTGGGAGGGCCCCCAAGGGAAGGAGAGGCCAGTCTGCAGCCCGATTTGGGGATTGCTCACTAACTCCTGTGGCATGCCCTAAGCGGCCCCACTCCTCGCCTTGGATTTTCAGGAGCTCTATGTTATAAGAGGCAGCCTAGAACTTTCTGCCAGGGGCTCTTACAAAACTCCCCCAAGAGAGAGGAGAATAAACCCACAGAGTTCTTTACAGCCACCGTGTCCCTTCCAGACATGACTGAGACTTCCTTGTGCGCCTTCCTCACCAAGCCCTCACTCCCGGGGCAACATTGCTCCAAAACGCTGTGACCCAGGACATTTAACCTCTGTGAGCTGCTTTCTCCTCTGTAAAATGGGGTGATCATTGTGGCCCCTGTTTAGGCTTGTAAGGAAAACGCGCGTTAACCATAGGCGAAGTCTTACGCGCTAAGAATGGCGTTTGCTTTTGATAACTACAGTTATCATTAACTGGAGACATGAGGAGGCTGTGGGAAGTTCTGACCCAAAAGTGGGAGGCTAAGGGGCAGGGGAGAAAGAGGGGAAAGAGTTTTCTCTCTCCTGTAATGAGATTCCACCTTTCCTGCCCCAGTACACGCCTCTCACGCGTTTGTGAAGGGGCTGTTGTTATAAGTCAGAAGGAGCCCCGCTGGCACAGCTCTTAAGCCTTCAGCTGTTAATGGAGAAGTTGGGGGTTCGAAGTCACCCAGTGATTCTAGAGGAGGAGAAAGACTTGGCAATCTGCTCCTGTAAGCCCCTGGGGCAATTCCGCTCTGCACGTTGGGTCATTCATTATGCGTTGGAATCGACTTGACGGCTCCCAACAGCTATGTGCCAGGTACCGAGAGACTTGGTGACACATTGCTCTTTGGAGGATGAGCCAGCATCCAGGGCACTGGGTGGGGCTTTGGGGGCTGACAGCTGGGTCTCCTCTTCTCACGCCCCTCGCCCGCCACCGCAGGCTGTTTGACTTGGAGCCCGACCTGCTGCCTCTCTTCCAGTACAATTGCCGCCAGTTCTCCAGCGTGGAGGACTGCCTCTCCTCCCCAGAGTTCCTGGACCACATCCGGAAGGTGAGGGGCAGGTGGGCGGAGAAGGGCGGGGCCGTGGTGGGCGTGGCCGCTGGGACCTGGCGGGGAGAGGGATCTGGGGGAGGAAGTGCCTTCCACTCCTTCTCCAGGCCTGGTCCTTCCTTCCCTCTTGCTCCCCCCAACCCACCCAGCCCGGTGTGGGGTATCTGCGCCTTTCCCTCTAGGCTAGGCTGAGCCCCCTCCTCTACCCTGTGCTCAGCCTGCTGGTCCCAGCCTCCTGTCACTGCCCCTCAGCCTTGTTCCCAGACTCCTGCGGGTGAATCATGGAGACCTGTGAAGAACCCACAGGGCCCTGGTGTTCCCTTAACCTTGCAGATAACACTGGTCATTGAGGTTCTGAGACCCTCAGAAGAAGGGGTCTTCCTTCGAGGGTACAGCAGTAGTTTGGCTCTCACATGTTGAGATCCTGCTGTATACAGGCGATTTTGTCTTCCCTCTCTAATCCTGGGTGAATGCTCTTGCTTCTGGGTGGGATACCAGGCCCAGGCTGTGGTTGGGAGGCGGTGAGGCTGCCCTGATCTCAGGCCCTGGGTCCTTGGCTTCACTGCTGCCTTGGTCTTGGCAGGTGATGCTTGTGATTGATGCTGCAGTGACCAATGTGGAGGACCTGTCCTCGCTGGAGGAGTACCTTGCAGGGCTGGGACGGAAGCACCGGGTGGTTGGTGTTAAACTCAGCTCATTCTCGGTGGGTAACACACTCCATGGCCTCATGGCAGGAGGCTGATACTCTTTTCCTGTCCCGCTCCACCCTCCTGTTCTCACCTCCAGCTTCCAGGCCCTCGGATGACTTGGGCCTGTAACTGTTACATGCTTGTTCAGTGACCCTGACCTTGGCACTCTGAGCCTCCATTGTTTTCTTCTTCCGGAATGGCTTCTCTTAGAAATACAGAAAGTTAGGGAACCACTGAAATGAAGATTTGATCTGTGTAACAAGCCACTCTAAAATGTACTGGCTTATAAAATTATTGGATGCCCTGGCTGGGCTCCCCTGAGCACTTCTTCTGTTCCAAGGAGTATAGCTGGAGTCACTCATTTCCTGCACTCAGCTAGGACAGGAATGTCCTTATATCCATGTCCAGGATGGCCTCCAGGGCATCTCTCCATGTGACCTGACATCCTGTACTTGTCTTGGTGAGCTTCTTTACAGGATGGCAGCTGAGTTCTTAGAGGGAGTGCCCCAAGAGGGTCCACCTCAGTGTGTGTGTGCACTTACCAAGCCTCTGCTTGCATAAGTCTTGCTCATGTCTTACTGGCCAGATCATGTCACAGGGGTGAACTCAGTGCAGCCTGGAAGGACCGTGATCATGGATGTAAATTCCTAGAGTTAAGAGTCATCAGTGTCCAGTGACATCCCTCTACCACAATCCAGTCACTTTACCAGGGTAAAGCTCCTTGAGGAAGGGACTTTGAATTGCTCCCCTCTCCATCCCCAACACTAACTCGGTGTCTGGCTCTCAATGGATGTGTAGTAAATTTTTACAGAACAAATGATTGAGGCCTTCCTGTGCACAGGTGAGGTGCTAAGAACTTTCTAAAGATTGTACCAACAACCCCATAACTTGGAATTTTCACGTTCCCTATTTTTCTGAAGCAGCAGCTGTGATCAGAGAGGTTAATATCTTGCTCAAGACCACACAACTCATAAATGGCAGAGTCAGCACTGGAGCTCAGGCCCACTTGGCTGCAGAGTCCGAGCTCTTTCTTAAACCACTGTGATTGCTGCTTTGCTGATGAGGAAACATTGAGGTTGGGGGATGTTGATGTTGCTCTGTCTGAGCCAAAGTTCCCAGGCAAAGCCCCAAGCCCCACTCATGCACGGGTCATTGTGAGGAGGGTACAGTGGGGTTCCCAAAGATTGGAGTAGATTCTTTTTCAGAAAGCATGAGTCAAGTGCGGGAGAGGAGAGAAGTTCTTTACTCACTTCAGTTTTCTCACCTGTGGAGTGGAGTGATTGGGAATGACAGGTTGCCGTTTGCCTCTGCAGACAGTGGGTGAGTCCCTGCTCTACATGCTGGAGAAATGCCTGGGTCCCGCCTTCACGCCAGCCATGCGGGCTGCCTGGAGCCAGCTGTACGGGGCCGTGGTACAGGCCATGAGTCGAGGTTGGGACAGTGATTAAGAGGCGGTCCTGCATGGGGGCCTCCACCTTGACGGATGTCATTGTGTGTGTCTCTGTCAATCTGTGTCCGCTGTCGCCTGGACTCCACCAGATCTCCTTGCATCCTGGTCCTTGTCCCTTTAGCTGTCCTGGAGAGGTGATGAAGCCAGGCGAGGATCCTAGCCACCCTCACCTGCCCCAGCCAACTGCAGATGGGGGGGGCGGGGGTTCAGGAAAGAGGGGTTTCCCCTTCACAGAGCTGCATCTGGATTCTCTATCACTCCTTCCAGCCTCTTCCTCACTCACCTTCTGTCCCCGCTGGCACCCCTTCTCCCTTAAAAGAGGAGTAAAGTATTTGTGGGGCAGGTGGTACAGAGTGAAGAAGGAATGGGGCTCAGAGAGAATGGGGTCTTCTGTCTGGCCCTGCTCAGGTGAGCCTGGGCCACATTGGTGGGTGGAGGTGTGAGATTCTAGCACCTTCCTGTTTTGCCTGTTCATGCCCTTTAATACTTTTATGTCCCAGGGTATTTATTTTTTCATAAGTAAAAAGAAATTACTTGAGCCTTGACCATGGCCACACAGAGCAGGTAGTCAGGAGAACTGCTGAGAAGGGAGGGGCCTTGGCTCTGTGAGGAGGCAGACCTGGGTCTCTAGGGCTTCTCAGATGACACATGGCAGAGAAGTGTTTTCTTTTACAGTGTGTTCTGTCTCTCATTCAGCACTTTCTGTGGAAGCATTTTTATTATTGTTTTGTGAGATCCCAGCCCAAGGCCCTGGGTGTACAAACGGATAATGAATGTGCTTGGCTACTAATTGAAAGGTTGGAAGTTCCAGCCTGAGATACCTCAGAAGGCAGTGATCTACTTCTGAAGACTCAGCCTTTGGAAACCTTATGGGAAGCATGGCTCTGCTCTGACACACATGGGGTCATCAGGAGTCAGGATTGACTAGGGAACAATTAGTTTATACTGGTTTGGATACCAGTTAGCCAGCAGGGGGTAGGGTGAGCACAGGCAAGGGGAAAAAGAGGTGACTTCATTCCAATCTCTTTCTCCCTTACCCCTACTCCTTCCTGGCGGTTTTGTCTCCCCTGATCTTCTGACCATATGGATGTCAGCCCACTGCCCCCATATATACACCCCATGTGGACTTGCAGAATGCCCTCTGCCCTTCCCTGTGCTGTCTACACTTTTCCCTCTGCTCTGTGCTGTCGTGGTGTGAACTTATGAAGAATAAACTTGGTCTGCGTGCCTCCCTGACTCTGTGACACGTCGTTTCCTGGGTATTGACATGTCAGATGAAGCTTCAGGGCAGTGGATCTTGGAGTGGGGTGGGAGGATGGGGTTGGAAAATCCAAGGCAAGAGAAAAAAAAACCACAGGGAAAGGCCTGGAAAATAAAAAAACAAAACAAAACAAAACAAACCAACACAACAACAAACACCAAACCCAAAAACAAAAAACAAACAAACAAACAAAGACCACAAACCAGTGACTGGATGGAGCTTGGGTCCTGTATCAGAAACTGGCCAGCAGGTCCCTATACCCAACTCACCTTTCTAGTGGGCACTCAGCTAGACAACATTTCCTAGCCTCCCTTGCAATTAGATGGGTCACAGTATTGAATTTGGCCAAAAGAACATGTGAAGGCGTTGTGTGCCCTTTCCAGGTTTCCCAAAACTCCTGGATGCTCTCCTGTACTCTGTCATCCTTCTGCCAATTTGTTGTAGGCCTTACAGTGACTTTAAGTGCCATGTGTTGAAGGTGGCAGAGCAAGAAATGGCAGGAGTTCTGACCCCTGAATCACTGGGGAAGAGTGCCCATTAACCAGCACCATTCATTTTGAGTTTTATGTGAAACAGAGACAATTCTCTTGTGTTTGTGCTGTTATATATTTGAGGGCATATTGGCTACAGTCACTCACACTAATCTAGAGACTGAAGTCATTCAGCCTGGGATCCCACAGGCTGAGGGACAAGGTGATTGTAGGGATTAGGAGGGAGACAGGCGCCCTGACAGCAGTATTGCGCATTAGTTGATGAAGAGAATCTTCTAGGTCCTTCTTGGAGGGGCAAGTGTCAATCACAAGGTATGCCTTTAATGGAAGAATTCAATGGCTTAATTAGGGGTGTACAGTGTGTGTGTGTGGAGGGTTCAGGAGGAGAGAGAGGAACAGGAGAATGAGGTGAAGAAGCATAAAAAGATGTCATCATCTGAGCAGGGGGTAAGCCAGGTCCCATGTTTGCATTTATCTTCTACCCTAAGAGCTAGTAGATTGGACACAGCCAGTTCAGTGCCTCAGAAGAAAGGTCTGGTGCTCTGTGTCCATAAACATTACAGCCAAGAAAATCTCATGGAGCAGTTCTCCGAGACGTACAGGACTGCCATGCATTGGAGCAGACTTGGCAGCAATGGGATGCTTGTTTAGTTTTTTTAATCACACGGGGGTGGAGGGTGGTCTTTGGGTGGAGATTTACAAATCATATTTTTTTTCCATACAATCATTCATTGACATCTTGTAGCCTTTGCATTGATGAATGTCATTAGAGAGCTCTAGTGGCCAAGTGGCAAAAAGCTCAGCAGCAATTCCAAAGTCACATGGTTCAACTCCACCCTCTGCTCTGTGGAAGAAAGACAGGCAGTCTCTCCTGTGTGACTCACTGCCTCTGAAAACCCACTAGAGGGTCAAGGATGGGTCAGTTCTGACTCGAGGGTCACAGCAACAATAATGTGATTAATTATAATGTCTAACCAGCCCGTTATTGTACATTGTGTTTCCCTTCACATTTTGGTTGATATTAAGGTAAATCTCTCCACCTACTCCTGGCTTCCAACAAGTGGAGCCCTGAGCTAGGCTGTGAATGGTGGAGGGTCTGCACCTGGAACAGCTCTCTTTGTTCCAAATTGTCATTTTTCTTAGCCCAAGACAGATACAGTGCTCAACTCCTAGCTGGGGTCTCATTTTGGCCAGACTAAGGTGGCCTGCCAGGTGTGTGAGCACGTGAGGGATGCATTCCTCACAGTAGGTGAGAAAGTGTTTTTCCAAGGATAGCAGGCTCTGGTGACAGAGGACCTCATCTGACTCAGTGAGCATACCCTGCCTGCAGTTACGATGTTTTGAAGCCCATTCAGGTCAAACACCCTTCTCTGATGTCTTGGGCCGTCCCAAGTGTACATTGAATCAGCGCTCTAGGTGATGGGTTTATATGTGGGTATACACACACATATGTGTGTGTGTGTGTGTGTGTGTGTGTGTGTGTGTGTATATATATATATATGCCTTGTTCTCTCCCTCTATTTTATCCAAGGATGTGGCTTTGCTTTTCCCCCTTATTATTAATTTTCATGAAAATTTGGAGATATTTTGGATTTCCATTCATTCATTGTTGCGCTTTTCTCCCTGCCCACCCCTCCCCTCCAATTCATTCTTCTCTTTGAGAAGTAAAAGAAAAATTCTTTCATTGTTATACAATCCCTCCCCCCAAGTCCATTCAAGGATGTGCGTTTGTACTCCTCGCTCCCCTGCATTCTTCCCACTTCATCATCTCATCACTCACCTGATGCAAAGCCCACCTCCTCCCTGAATGACCTGTCCTTCTCCAGCCATTTCTGTACTTGACAGTGAAACTCTTCAAAAGAGCGGTCTTTGTTGCTGTTTTCATTTCCTCACGTCCATGAACAATTGGAGAAGCCTGTTCCCATCAGGCTTTTATCCCCAATCCTAATCCCTCATGTGAGAGAAGGACAGGCAGTCTCCGCCCCGGCACTTTACTGCCTGTGAGACCCCGCTGGAGAGTCAGCTATGAGTCGGTTCAAACTCAATGGCACACAACAACCGCAGCAACAATTATTATCAGTTCCAGGGATCTCTGACAGCTTAGTTGTAAGGAGTTGTGCTGCCAACCCAAAGGCATGCAGTTCAAATCCACCAGCTGCTCTGTAAGAGGAAGATGGGCAGTCTCCTCCTGTGGGATTTATTGCCTCTGAAAATCTGCTGGAGGGTCAGCTGTGAGTCAGTTCCTACTTGATGGTACACAACATAGCCGTTATGGTTACGGGTAAGACTACTAACTGAAAAGTGCTAGTTCAAATCCATCAGCTATTTTGTGGGAGAAGATGGGTGCCCAAAACATTCACAGGGTTGGAAGCCTGATGGGATCGCCATAAGTCAGAGCACCAGGGATGGGGTGGAAGCAAACATGGCGCAGACGTTCATTTTCAGGGACGAGGAGTCATGGCAGAAAAGCTGCTCCTCGTGCAGAGAAGGCAGAGTCATCCGAAACCCGGACTGCTGCTTCCTTGAGTGTTGATTGTGGACCCAAGTAAAGGGAAATCCTTGATAAAGGCAATCTTTTCTCTGTTTATGATGATGTTGTGCCTTGGAGGCAAGGTTTTGAAGCTCCATCTGATATGCTTTGGGCCAAGGAGGGTCCAGCCCTTGAGAAGGACACCAAGCTTGGGAAGGAGGAGGGACAGCACAGGAGAGGAAGACCCTCAATGAGATGGACTGACTCAGTGACTGGGGTAGCAGGGGTTGGTGTGTCCAAGACAATGAAGTTGGCTCAGGATAGAGCAGGGTTCAGAGCTGTGGTACACAGGGTTGCTATGAGTTAGAGTCGACTCGATGGCACATAACAACATTGGCCCAATTTTGAGGATTTCTGTTTTCTTTATGTTGAGGTGCAATACTTATTGAAAGCTACAGTGTGAGCATTCATCAGCCCTAGTGAGAGTGCCTGGTAATTACATCTCACTAGGGTGCTGAATATCCCGTGGACTGCCAAAAGAACAAACAGATGTGTCTTGGAGAAGGAGCCGCCAGGGTGTTCCTAGGAGACAAAGATGATAAAAAGCTTCATCTCACATTCTTTGAGCATGTTGCTAGGAGAGGTTATTCCCTAGAGAGGGACATTATGCTTGCAAAGGTGGAGGCTGGAAAAGAAGAAGACCCACAAGCAGATGGATTGGCACAGTGACTGTAGCATTTGAGTGTGTCAGAGGTTGTGAGGATGGCCCAGGATAG